TTTTTTTTATGTTTTTGCATGTTTCAGTATGTTCCTTCATGCTTCACTTTCATTAAGCAATAAATAGATAATCATTAATAATCAAATAAGCCGTAACACAGATGTGATTACAATTACGATTGATGATTAAAATACTGTATTGCTTTGGCTCAGTTCCAATAAACTAATAAAAAGGTTTTGTCCTGGTCATTTGATTTCAAACAGCACAAATGCTCAATATTAATCAAAGTGATAGTTGTTATCCTGGATGCTGATTGGACAATCCAGAGCATAGATAAGATCATTTTATATCTTTTTTTTTCTAGTATTTTGGACAAACAAATTTTCAAAGTAATTATCAGATTTTCCATTTTAAGTCTGTTTTTACAAGCAAGTTACTTGTTTTCAAACAAGTAGCCCCGCCCAAAACCCACCCCATTGGTCGAATCAATAATGCCATTCAAGCAAAAAGACTACAATTTGGTTTGATGCAGTGGTGCAGACATTTAAAGAAGAAGAAGAAGAAAAGTAAATCAATCTAGAATAAAAACAACTAAAGAAAAATATTTTTTGACAATTTGAGCAAACTAAAACTCTGGAATCTGAATCAGAGAGGGAATCATTTGAATCTGAATTTCAACCTTACAATATTACAACATGTGCTGTAGATATATGATGATAATGTATTTCATATAATGCATGTATAGATGTTTTGATGATGATGAAGAGCTGTGTTATTGATTGTTTACATACTGCATCACGTGTCATGTGTGTTGTTGTGATATAAACGCACCTCGCAGGCCGAGATTGTCATCTTTAGATCTGATGTTTGGTATTTTGACTCGTTTTCCGCTCAGTGTGGACAACACGAGTCTCTGTCTGAAGCAGCTGCAGCCCTCAAACTCCATGATGTGAGGAGACACACGTGTTTCTGCAGCGCACTGGACCCAAAAAGACGGAGCACTCACATTATGTGTTACTTATGAATGAGAGAAAGTGTAATGCCCAATATGGAGGAATACTCCCGCCTTTAAAATAAATGAGCCAATCGGTAATTGGTCCTCGCGTCACTGCAGCTGCTGTTACAAGCTCCGGTTGCTATAGAAACAGTCAGTGTTGTGAGACGCGCTTAGGACCGCACATGCGCATTTGCTGGTCTAGCCTGAAAAATACGTTTTTTTAAACGCCATATGATCATAAGAAATAAAATTTATTTTCAAATTGAATTTCAAATATGAAATTTAATCTAAGGTGAATAGCTTTGGAATATTAGATTTTTCTCCATTCAATTAGATGCCTGAGAGGCGTTTCAAAGATGGCCGCCGAGTTAATTTTTTAATTTTTTAATTATGCTTCCAAATTACACACAAATAAGGTACAAACTCAATTTCTGAATTTAACAACACTTGATCAGACTTAGGTTGGGTATAGCCAATAACAAAACACAAAAATCACAAAAAAAACAAACAAAAAAAGAAAATCTCTTTGTTTTCCAGACAAATACCAAACCTAATTACCTTCTCAGCGAGGGGTGGGAGTTCAACCTCCCTATAGACCATAACCAGTTCCGCACATCTCTCCAAAAGGGTTGCACCATATCACAACAAAAGAAAACATGCTCTAAATTTTCTATATTTGTTTCACAAAAAACAAAATGATTCACCTCAAAATTAAATTTAATCTTAAAAATTCATTTGGTAGGATAAATCTCATTTCATATTTTGAAGTTCACCTCCTTAGCTTTAGGAGGGAGGGGAAAAGACAGATCATTTTGTCGTATCAAAATCTTTAAGCATGTATTCCCGTCTAATAGGGTTTGGGTAACAAGCCGTAAAAAAAAAATAAAAAATCCCTAATGACTCTGTTTGTAATTTTTTTATCACAAAAATTGCAACCTTCTAAGGAGAGCTGTCTCAGTTCTGGGGAGACTTTGGAGTACAAAATGTCTTCTTTAACCATTAATCTTCCCGCAATTGGGATGGCTCTGAACATTTTATTATAAATGTTAACAGTACACTGCAGTTGGAATTTCTCACAAAACTCTCTATACAGTAACACATTTCCATTATCATCCAAGAAACCAAGTAATGAGGTACACTCAAACTCACACCGTAGAAAAAAATGTATTCCACCCAGTTTGTTAAAGATTGCATTGGGGACAATGAACCAAAAAGAGTGCTATTTTGAATGAAGGATTTTAACCATTTCAATTTCAGAACACCATTCATAATCTCAAAATCGATCGCATTCACTCCACCGTCTTCATATTTTTTAATCATGTCATCCATTCTTAAGTACTGACATTTATTCTTCCAAATAAAATTAAAATTCACCTTATTAATTTAATCATTCGTGTCGATATGGACAAGGAGAAGGCTGGGTAAATAAGTCTGGACAAACTATCCATTTTAGACAAAAGAAACCTTCCTAAAATTGTAAGAACCCTCTGCAACCATCTATTTAGTACGGATTTACATTTATCTATGTTATTCAACACATTTTTATTTTCCATTATTTCTCTATCTTTAGAAACAATAATCCCCAAATATTTAACTTCCCTCTTAATTTATATATTAATTAATGACTGCAAAGGAAATTCATGTATGTTAACATTTCACATTTTTTTAGGTTCAAATGTAGCGCTGAAGCTAGTGGAATTTGTTTTTTTTTAGAAATAATGTTGTGTCGTCAGCAAACTGACTTATAATTATTTGCCTATCCAACACTGTTAAACCTTCAATACCACTATTTTTTTTTATCAATGTAGATAATAGCTCTGCAACCATTATAGGCAATAACAATAACTACCACATCCCTGACGAATCCCCCTTTTAATTGAAAATCTTGTGCAGGTTCCATGACCAAGCGCTACAGAACTATTGATTCCATTATACAACATTTCAATTAAATTGATAAATCTTACTCCAAAACCAAAATGCTGCAAGGTTTTCAAAATGAATGGATGCTCAACAGCATCAAATGCTTTGTAAAAAATAAAAAAATAAAAATAAGAAATCCACTCTCTTGAAACACATCACTATAATCGAGAACATCTAAAACCAATCTAATATTATTATGGATTGACCTTCCTCCCAAAAACCCTGACTGTGTCTAATTATTGTAGAAATACCCTTTTTCAGTCTAGCAGCGTTAGCCCAGAACATTTTTTATAATCAGTGTTAAGCAAAGGCCGCCGAGTGAAATGACTTGCCATTTGTTTCCACTCATCTCAACACACACTACACATAATAAAAGCCTTTTACTGTAATATCAAGGAATATATCCATATGGTGAACTGGATTCAACATGGACTCACTACAAGAGCCTGCAAAACGCAAAGGCGAAAAGATGATGTTACATCTGATGACCAAATGAGGGCTCCAAACATAGATATGTATAGATATGGGCCGCTATATGTATTCCATACTGGAATGTTGGTGCATCTGCACTGCAACTGTAGTTATATACATGTACACTCTAAAAAATGCTGGGTTAAATACAACCCAGTGCTGGGTAAAATAGGGACAAACCCAGCAATTGGGTTGTTTTGACCCAACGGTTGGGTTACTACTCAGAAGGTTGGGTTAAACATTTAAACATTTACATATTATGTATGACTAATATATATCTTCAGAAGACTTCAGAAGATGCGTTTGCTAAACTTACACAATACAACAAGACAAAACCGTTAGCTAACAAGGCATTTAAAAGGTACCTTAGTTTAAAAACTTGTAATATTGAGTTAATACATAGGCTACACTCTAAAAAATGCTGGGTTGTTTCAACCCAACTTTGGGTCAAATATGGACTAACCCAACTTTTGGGTTAAAAATTGTATGTAAAAATTTTACCCAACGGTTGGGTGTGTCCATATTTGACCCAAAGTTGGGTTGAAACAACTCAGCATTTTTTGTGTGTATTAAAAACACAAGCCAACACATTCTTAGCTGTGAAAGTTAACCCAGTTTCTTCAGGAATTTAAATTTAGGCAGTTTTCACAACCAGATGCTGCGCAATGTTGTTCATCTTGAAACCAAAGTACCTTTAAGGATAGTCTATGGTCTTTGTTGAAACTCATTGATTTTTATTACTAGACCGTTCCAAGATGGCGGACGCGTCTAAGTGTCTGGAGCAGTTGAATGTAGGATCTATACATATCTATGGCTCCAAAGTCCAGCTTTCTCAGCTTGGACACCATAGAATAGAGATTCTCCAGAAACACGTGCGTCTGCTCACATCGTAGAGTTTGTAATTATTTTACAATAATGAGCATTTGTGCTGTTTGAAATCAAATGACTAGGACAAAACCTTATTTTTAGAAAACAGTTTATTAATTCATTGAAACATAAGCAAACATAGTTGTCTGTGGTAGGGTTGATTTGATTATTAATGATAATCTATTTGCTTAATGAAAGTCAAGCATTAAGGAACAGACCGAAACGTACAGAACAGTGTTTAACATTAAATAGAAAAGAGTTGTGATTGGCTGATAAACCCCGCCTCTCATTTCCATGCACGTTCTACATCCTCAAATCGGTCTGAATAAACTAATTATGGTGTTTATGAGAAGCCTAATTAAAAGGTAAGTCAACAATTCAGTTAGATGTATGTCAGGTCACATTCAGCCTTGAAATGACTTGAAAACACTTTTTTTTTTTTTTGCGTTTTTAGAGAGAAATCAGGTTGGTGAAATAAAAGTACATGACACTTACAGTGTTTACCAAGCTTTGATGACTGATGATCCGAAAATAATTTGACAACTGAAAAGAACAGCTGAATAGCAGTTAACAAATATGCATGGAATATGAAATTTCTTATTTATTAGTTTGAAATAAATGTAAAAAAGCTTGTAAAGCACTAAATTGATGAGAAATATACTTTGGTTTAATAAACAGAGCATTAGTTGGTGTTTTCTCCTTGATAGTGTAAGTAATGATCATTTATTTAACCTAAAAGATGTGTCAACATTAAGTGACAAAGTGTATGGAATTTACACACACACACACACACACACACAAACAGTAAGGACTTATTATTCAACTCATTATTTGTGTAATTTTTGCTCAATGACTGCTTGAATCTGCTCCTTCAGTTTCTCTCTGTTGTTTGAGATGTTTTTTCCAGCGACGTCCATAAGATCAGTGATCATCTCAGCGCTGTAAGAATCTTGAAAGGTCCCATAATTGTTCCACCAGGCCTCAATATTATCTGAAGAAAGAGTAGAACACTTAAATGAGAACATAGTTCATCTTTAATTGATTTTTCATTTCTGCCATATATACATTAACTGACAGTCACCACTGATAAGCTACTACTAAATATTGTAGAAACTTAATTTTCTGTAAAGTTGCTTTGCAACTATTTGTATCGTGAAAAGCGCTATACAAATAAACTTGAATTTAATAGTTGATGTTTCATTTTTATTCAATTAGACAGTCTGAACTTGCCTCCACAGTTGACCACATTAAACAGAGGGATGTGAATCACGGTTGGAGCGTTTTTGCCTTTGAACACATAGAAGTCCTTTGGTTTCTCCACGTCTTCACTGGGAATGTTGACTTCAGGGAAAGGGATCTTTAGTTTCTTGCACATATCAGCAGCTTCTCTCACTGTCTGCAGTGGAAAAGCATAGCAGTATCACTTCATTAAAAGGGTAAGAGAAACATTTCAGTTGAAATGCAAGTTATTATTCACTGAAATCATAAGTTTGAGATGAATGGAAATGCTCTCTCCAGGTATTATTGATAAATATGGTTAAAATGAAATCATATGCACTTTTGTTTATATGGTTTTCTTTCTTGTTTTGTTTTAGCAGTTTAAATTATAAACAGAATCTGTAATTGTCTGTCAATGTTTTTTTTTAAGGTAAGTGGGACCTCTGGTGGTCACGATGAATGAGGAAAAAAAGCAGCATGATTATTCCTGTTGTTTTCTACTGAAGAAAGAAAGTCATACGGGTTTGAAACTACATGAGGGGGGAGTAAATGATAATTTATAGGCGATCTATTCCTTTAACTTTTATTTTAGTATGTGCTATATGTGTGTATAATACCATGAAAGGATCGCCTTCACTGAAATCCAGGGAAATTATGAGATCAATGTTTCTTTCTTCTCTCAGCATTGAGAAGTAGGGCGAGTTCAGCAACAGTCCGGCATCTTCATAGTCTCTCTTCTCACTTTTCAGAAGAGTATGAGGCACTGTTTCATCTGGAGGAATCACAGCATGAAATGAGTTTATTTTTCACATTAAATTGCAAATTTACAAACGGGTCTGTTCTCACCGTCCATGTTGTGGAGAAAGTCATATTTCCTTCCCCAGAGCCACTGAGCCATGCATTTACAAATCTTAATCCAAACTTCTGTAAAACAAATGCACAGTGGTTCTTAAATGTAGTAAATGACATTGTTGTTGTTTTTTTTCATTCTGTATATTGTTTTTCAGCTGACAATTTTTTTTTTGGAGATTAAAAAGGTTTATGATGTTTCATTAGTTTCTTCAGCTTTATGTTTTAAGAAAAGGTTATTTTGTGGCATCAGTCTGTTTTGGAAGCTTTCAGAGTAAAGCACTTCTCAGTTCACATATTAATCTGGTTAGAAAATAAAAAAAGACATACATTGTACAAATCAAATAGATTGTAGAGACAATTCAACCTACTGAAAGGCCAGAAACTGAGCCAACTACTCAAATTATTGCACACATCCTCAGTGTATTGCTTCATGTACAGTTTTGCAGCTTGTTTATCAGCGAGATTCAGTTTTTCTGTAGGAAAAATCAGCTTTTTGCCTCCACCGAGCGCTGTAAAAGATGGAAACATGTACATTATTGAGTTCTAGTTATCTGACAACATACAGTGGGTACGGAAAGTATTCAGACCCCCTTAAATTTTTCACTCTTTGTTATTGCAGCCATTTGCTAAAATCATTGAAGTTAATTTTTTTTCCTCATTTGTATACTTCTAGTTTGTGTGTCTTGTGTTCATGAGATGTTTTTGCATGTTTCAGTTTTACAGTTTCATCCATTAGTTTGTTTTTCATGTTTTACTGTTTAAATGTTGCTGAAAAGACGAGACCTTTTAATTACAGGAATGAAATATAGCCTCTTTATTTCAAATAGCAATTGAGATTAAACAAAATGGTATTCTTCTCAAATGAGATGACAGACATTCTGTCTTTCAGCTGACGAAAAAAAAGTAATCTAGAACATTACAACACACTGAAGAGATTGTACGCCTGCACAGCCTTGATTTAATTGCCATCAAACTATCCTCACTGTGTTAAATTCTGGATAATTACGGTTATTAATGTTAAATAACTTTTTTGATAATGTCTATGAAACTGAACATTGAGAAATATTGACTGCAGTAAATGTGATAACTAGACTCTTAAATGAACTAAACTAGTCTCCTCTATATGAATTGTAACACACTCTTACCGTTCAGCGTTGTTCTGATGGATTGCTCAAAAGCAGAAGGTTCTTTGCCATTCAAAACAGCGAGATTCATGTCCACAAGATCCATGAGCACCTGGTAACCCTTTTCTGCAGGTGGGGCTTTTGGGTATTTTGAAGAAAACACACATTGAACAAACACGAACACACTGCAGAATGTCTTGAATGTAATTCATCATGTTCAGATATCAGGAGTTTCCCACAAGAACAAACAAACATACACACAGCATTGTCCAAAAGCCATTTAAGATGCTTTGATTTTAAGCTAAAATGAATTTGATGACATTCTCATGATCTATTCAGTAACACTTTACAATAAGGTGCATTAGCAATATGTTACAGTATTTATTAAGTTAGCAATGTTAGTAAAAATACAACAGTTCATTGTTAGCTCAGGTCCATTGAACAATATTAACAGATACAACTTTTGATTTTAATAATGTATTAGTAAATGTTGAAATTAACATGATAAAAAAAAAAGTATTTTTCATTGGAAAATGGAACTTTATTGTAAAATGTTACTACAGTATATATTTATACCTAGCAAGTGATATGGAATTAATTATGGGTCACTAACAGTCTTTAAAATCAGATTATCATCATTATAGCTCATCTTTTATATTTCACCTTTATAGAGTTTCACATTGTATTTGTCAGCAGGAAGCACGAACAGATCAATAGACGAAAAAGATCAAACTTATCCATAAATAAATGCAGCAATGCAAAGAAATGCTTTACCTTTCCTCATTTCATCAAACATCTCCGATTGCATTATAGGAAATAAATGTTTAAAGAAATCTGAGGGGAAAAATCAAATGGAATCGCAGTTCACATGATAATGAAATGACTGTCAACTTTATGCAGAAGTGAATCTTGAAATGCAGCTTCACCTTTTATTTTTTGCCAGAGGAATTTCTTAATCTCTTCTCCATCCGCTAAAGCGCTGCCGCACAGAGCTGCAGAAAATAAATTTATGTTTAAAAGTGTTTACAATAAATTAAACGAAAACATAATTTTAAAACAAAATATGCAATATAACAGTCTAATGCAGGGGTCTCCAAACTCGGTCCTGGAAGACAGTGTCCTGCAGAGTTTAGCTTCCTAATTAAACACACCTAAACCAGCTAATCAAGCTCTTACTAGCCATACTAGAAACTTCCAGGTAGGTGTGTTGAGCCAAGATGGAGCTGATCTCTGCAGGACACCGGTTTTAGGTTGTAAAACTCGCTGTGCTATTAAAATGATAAATGATTTTTAGTATTTCTATACCTGTAATTTTGCAAATATCAATAAACTCTCCTGTGACAAAGTGTGTTACCTTGCAGGTACAGCATGTCTGTTTCAGGCTGAGGTTTTTTCTTTGAGCCTTTGTCAAACTGGCTGCCGAAGCTGGATGTTCCCACAAATGCTCCAGTGAGAGAATAACCTGCTTCATGTGGACTGATCTCAAACCAGGAGTCTGCAGACAGAAAACACAACCATATAACAGCTGACACGAGCAACATTAACTCACTTTAATTCTTTCTGACACCAACACAGACCTTTCTCGTCCTTGCTCTGTTTGTATTGCTTGTCAATCACTGTGTAGATGGGAAACGGGTCTTCACTGTGCTGGTTCTGCTTCTCTGTGAGTGTGTTTTCGTCAATCTGAAGAGAATATATAACATCTCAGAGAAACTTATAGAATGGAACCCATAAGCACCTGAAACTCTTCATTTTTTACAGTGAGTGAGAATTTATAAAGAATCACCAATTCATTCTCAGCTATGCTTGAGTTCAGTTCAGTTCAATTCTGATTAGCCTTTAAATCTCAGATTTTCAGTGTCTCAGACTTCAGATTCCACTGCATGTATGTTTTCTATACCAGTGGATAGTGAATAGTTATGAATAGTTACAGACCTCTTTCACATATTCTGTGACGACCAACACTGCCCAGACATCTGTCAAGCTGAAGATATCTTTCTCATAGTAATATTTCTTCAGTTTGGCAAATGCGTCTCCCCAGCTGACTTTGGGGCCGCTGAGTCTCTTGATGATTTTGTTCTTCATGGTCTCTAGTTTGGTGGACCAGTCTGGTTCTTGGTATAAGGAGGCCATGCACCTTCAGAGAAGAACATACTGCTCTCATTTTTGACATTCAACCCAATTCAGTCTCTCTGTGTTTGTGGTTTCTCAGGGTTCGTACCAGGTGGATCCAGAGACTCCGCTCAGATAAAGGATGCAGTCCAGAAGACCCGCTTTATCAAGCTGAACCAGGGATCCCAGCAAACCCACCATGGCTCTTTGTCCTCCTCCAGAACCCAGTAATGCAAAGTGTGGCACTTTATCCTGAAACACACACAGTTTGACTTGGGAAACATTTGATGTTCATCAGCAACAACTCCATTTATTGGTCATTTCAAGAAAGAACAGACAGGAAGATACTAGGGGTTTAACGTTACACAAACATGACGGCTCAGTATCAAAGTCATGGTTGGTACAGCAGGGGGAAGAAACTGTAAAATTGCTTTTCTTTTAATTAAACAGTGGTTTACTGAACAAAATAGGTCTTTAAATAAATTCAATTATAATAAAAAAAATTCTGAAATCTACCTCAGCTAATGCTGTAAAGTATGGAGCCCAATTACTTGCCCATTGCAATAGGTTATAGGTTACAATTAACAACAGAGCCCAAACTATTAAATTCAACTGACATTTATTTTTTAGATATAATAATAAACACTCATAAAAAAACTATAAAACTATAAAAAAAAAAATTTTAAAAAGTATGCAAACATGTAAATTGTACACAAGGCAGTTTTTACAAAAATGTAAGTACAAAATTATGTTTATAGGCTACTCCAATTAGTTGTTGAATATAATCATTTACACAGTGGTTGTCATAACTTGTTTTCATGACAGATTTGTTTATACATATGCCTATACTAAATAATTAAGTCGTCACTAACAGGTTAAAGGGGTCATATGATGCGATTTCAATTTTTCCTTTCTCTTTGGAGTGTTACAAGCTCTTGGTGCATAAAGAAGATCTGTAAAGTTGCAAAGACTAAAGTCTCAAATCCAAAGAGATATTCTTTATAAAAGTTCAGGTCTAGGTCACTATGTGGAAATATTAGCATAATCATTTATCTTGCTGGGCTGTGGATACTGAATGACTTTTCTGAGGTAAATGTAATGCTACTTGACATATTGTTTACATATTGATGTCTTTCCTCGGTTAAAACAGTGATTGTGGGATTACACAGCTTATTTCCTGCTGCAGTAAAGAGTGAAGGATGATCGCGTTCACTCGAACTGAGGCGATCTGTCACCCACATCAAAGAGCGTTATAACGGCATTTATTGTTTGAATTTCCAAATAAAATGGACAGTACACTCTTAAAAATAAAGGTGCTTCAAAAGGTTCTTCAAGCGATGCCATAGAAGAACCATTTTTGGTTCCACAAAGAACCATTCAGTCAAAGGTTCTTTAAAGAACCATCTCTTTCTTACCTTTTTATAATCTGAAGAACCTTCTTTCACCACAAAGAACCTTTTGTAAAACAGAAAGGTTCTTCAGATATTAAAGGTTCTTTATGGAACCATTTAGACAAAAAGGTTCTTCTATGGCATCGTGAAGCACCTTTATTTTTATTTTTTATAGACCAGTATGGCTATTTTTACTCCCTTCTCCCTAGCTGTTCATTGATTTATTCATTTTAGCTGTTTTATTGTTTTGTCCTGTCATTTTGACTGTACTAATTCCCCTCCTTCTCTTTCTCTTTTACACTCTCTGGTTCTTTATAGCGTGCTTGCTGCAGTCGGAGCTGGTGAATTATGAGCGGGTTAAGGAATACTGTTTGAAGGTACTCGGACACCAGCAGGATCACTTTAAGGCCATGTACCGTGCTGGGATTGCCTTCTACCACCTGGGAGACTACGAGTGTGCCCTGCGTTACCTACGTGATGCCAAGTGCCGTGAACCCACAGGTGGGCTTTATGATCACTTTAATATTATATACAGTAGTGCTTCTCAAATTATTTTACACTGGATCCAAGAAGTGAGTCAACACTATCTAAATTGTGTGTGTGTTCTTTTTTTTTACAAGCTGATAATTATCTTATATCGATATTTATATCTGGTTGATCTGATTATGTGGTTGGTATTCTGTTCATTTTGTCTAAATTGTTTTAAATGCTGCAAGTGGATTTAGAAATAAAACTATAATACAATTAATTATATAATTCTAATAAATAATATAATCAAATTATAATGTATAACAACACATATTTTTGTATTAAATGTATTTTGTAAATATATTTAAATTTAAATATTTGTACATATTTATTTTGAGATTTGCTAAAGATTTATCTGTGTTATTAAATTATTAGTGTTTTTTTTTAAGTAAGTGTTAGATGATGGCAAAGGTAATGTAAATGTAAAAAAATGGGAAATGAGCATGTCTAAATGACAAATTCCGTCATACTGGCCGATAACCAGAGCTTATCATGCAAAGGTAATTAGAAATGCCCTTAAAATCAAACTGAAATGTATTTATAGGCACAATATTAATATACTTTGACAGATGAATTTGCTCCAAAACATCCATGACCCAGTGTTATTTTAGTATTATTTATGTACTATTATACATAATATATACATATGTACTATTATAGTATTTCGTAATATTTTGAATTACCTTTTCTTTTTATTTTCATTTTCCTTTTAGTTTGTGTATTAGTATATTGCTATGTGCTTTTGTGATTTTTATTCGCTTATTTATATTTCTATATAGGTTTAATTTATTTTTATTTCAGTTTTAGTTTTAGTAATTCAGAACTTATATTATTTTCAGTTAGTTCCCAAGGCAAAATTTCTAATTATTGTTTCAGTTTTTACATTTTTGTTTTTGATCTATATTT